GACTTGTTTTCTTGTGGACGAAAAAGATGCGCGGGCATAGCAGTTACATTGTCGACACACCTAGTGACGTTCTGACAGAGAAAAGAAGGAATTCATTCCAAGTGTCAATTTCCATGCAAAGTCTTAATGTTTGCACTCGGGTACTGTGTTGGCGAGGGAAAGAAACCCATTGCTGAAAACACCATATATAATCGTGGCTCCGTACTAGTACTTTGCCAATGGAAAGCAAATGCACCTACGTTATTCGTAAACCGTAGTCGAATCTTCGAACGACTTGAAATTGCGATACAGCTGACTTTCGAAGCGATTCAATGATTCACGGGTGGTTTACCGTCTGCTTGGTTGTATCATTATTTTTAATTCGATTTTTTCGACATTAGCCACTTAATCGACTAATAACACTTAATGATAATCGCTGAGATTCTAGTACGCTCGTGTGTATATATATATATATTGTATGTAGAGGCCGTTGGACCGGTTACGCAGAGCTCGCTCTGTTTCTCGCACCATTTCCGCCGCCCTCGCGGTCGACTTCCGTTTTTTATTCCTACGATTATCGCGGTAATGATGATCGCTATGACGACGATTACGTATTTCCATGATACGTACATCAAATTCAGATTTATTAAATTACAAAAATGTCTCTGGATTGCGTTGACTTTTCTGTTGGACTTTTTACCAAATATTTTATCACACTAAATATTTTGGTGTCCCGATTGATATGACTGTTGGTAAATATCGACCGAATATCTTTATCTGTTTATCTTTAAAATTTCGCGTGACGAATAGACACCCAAGTTATTTCTCAGGCACATCTGTTTTCAGTATACACATCCTAATGTAAACTGTGATTCTCGAAAATAAGTATAGGCGGCCTTGCCAAGGTCTAGTTATCGTATATGGTATCGACTTATCAGTCAACGATAATTTCACAACTGGTTCGATACCAGTTTTTTTTTTTCACATACGTAGAATCAGGCTATGCATATTTGGGTTAAGCCGTGCAGTATTCCAGATAACAGTTATCCGGATCCGCGAAAAATAAAATAAATACATGTAACAGGATACGTCTTATACAAATTAACAACCAACTGTGAGACTCGTCCAGTTAATAATTGGTTTTGTTACTTTTGCATTAAAACGATTGCAATCAGCTACTGGTTGGATTTGCGGTTAGATTAATATTATGCTGCATTGAATGGAGGATGATACATCGTTCTCTGTTATTTATCAAATAATGTTTATGTTATTTACGTAACAAAATTTTTTTGAAAATATCCACCAGACTCTATTGTCTGGGATATATATATATAGCGTTGCAATCGAATAAATACTTTCTTAGATATTCCAAGGATTCGCGGAGTCCTTAGCATGGAATTTAAGATCGTATGTGAATCTAGCTTTCAGATCTTTCTGCTCGCTCGGAATTCGTAGAATTCGCATGATACGGAGATTTTATTTGGAACGATGATCGTAGAGATATCAGATACCATATTACTTACGGTTCTTCTAACGTACTGTTACCTGTACCTTGCGAGTCTAAATATAGTTATAAATTGAATAATAAAATATTTTTAATATTGAAATATTACATATAATCATTCGATGAAAAATATACCACGCGATCGCGAAAATCACATGTATTAAGAGCAAAGGCAAGTTTATTTTCAAAAAGCATTACATCACCGCGTCTCCGCTTCCCTCATTACCAGTCGATAAATCGAATCAGAAAATCATTGGTTATTAAATCGGTTCCTGTAATTATAATTGAGTCAAAAGCCGTTCAAGCTTCCGGATCTGAATCCCCGGTACGATAAATCAAGCGATTAATAAATAGTCGTGTAATTTAAAAATCGTTATCGGTTTTACGGAAATAAAAAAGATAATAGCAATAACAAAGTGTCATTTCAGATTTTTATCGATAACCCGACAGACTAAACAAACGGGAATGATAATGCTGCTTTTAAAAGTGACTCGACGTTCCGCGCATGCGTAGACTATTTCAGTTACGAAAATACGAAGACACTTCGATGAGTCCCACGATTAATTATGTGGTCATAAAACGGCCATGTTGAAGTGGGTGCATCACTCGCCGCTTCCGAAGAACCACGTAACCGTGGTGACGCAAGAGTCTGATAAGGATCAGGATAAGGATCAGGAGAAGGATCGTCAGGTGAAAATCACGGACAAGTCACATGAGCAGAAGGAAAACGAAAATCTGGATGCGTGTGGAAGAAGGCGTTTCGGGGTAAGATTTTCCAAAAGAAGGAAACGTGATGGGGAATATAATTTTAGGTAAATTGGTGATTGTTGAATGGCGGGCGTTTTATTATTATTATCGTAACTTTTTTTTGTATATATATATATATATATATATATATATATATATATATATATGTTTGTGTGTGTACTCCCTTCCTTAGCTAAACTGATAATTGCTGAACAACTAACGTAAGCCACGGGATACCTGACGGGAAGGTAACGAGAGTTGAGCCAATTGATTATAAAGAACTGTGAAGAACCAGTTTTTCGAACGCGTAACAAATGAAGTATTTTCCCTTCACTTCTTGTATCGCTTCTTGATTTCGTATTAGCAATCTGTGGTTTGCTGATTTTCATGGGTATCGGGATATTTGAGGGGCTAGATATTTTACATGGGTAAACATGTAATTTATACGTAGCTGTTTACACTGTTGTATTTATTAGACATTGTTTATAATATATATGGCGGAGCATTTATTTAGTATGCAATTATCAGGTAGGTCTTACGAAATCTGTAAGGAATCTCCGTGTAAGATTGATATACGCCATGAAATCGAAAGCGTTTACTGTATCATGCGGATCCATAGAACAGAAATTATCGATAATTTGCAGCTTCGCGTTAAACTTCGTGCCTGGTTCAACGAACCCGTATTGGTTTACACGAGGACTGTGACGACTGCAGCCAATAAACTTTCACTAATAAAATGAATCGAACCAATCGTTGACTATGTATTTCGAATGGCCGCTTATACTGCATCGTTTACTTATCTCGTAAACTATAGTGAAAAAAATACTTGTCCGCATACCAGGATAAACACGATTAACATGCCTCCCCGTGGTACGGTTGATGTGAAAGAAAAAGAATCTCGCCATTTTTCAACCCCATTATCAAGACCGGCTTATCAACCTAGATTTTCCACGACCCAATCGCAAGCCCCATGGAATGCGAAAGACTGGCAAAAACTCAAGAAATAAGTATCTGCGTTCGCTGTAGCTATTTGTAAAGATAAAAAATTTTCTTCGCATCTCTCATAAGTACACCATAAATTCATACGGGTCATTTACCCTGTAAATTACGCTGGTGGTAAAAAAAAAAACAAAAAAAAAAATTCGTAGTGCTAGGATATTGAACGTACAGGTTGCATAAGTTACATATATACGTAACATATACCGGTTTATAAAAAGTCATGGCTATGTCGTATACGCATGTTTGATTACGTGATAAAGCTTTAAAAGTAAACAGTTAATAAGTTGGCTGCTACATTAATTGAGTGTTTCAATTAGTTTCAAATGAATTTCAAAGGACAGTAGCAACCGCAAGGGCATTCAGCATTATGATGGTCTGTGCGTGACGAATCGAACAGAGAGGTTATATATCTGTTGGGGTATAACGAATTACTTAAGCAGCCGTTAACAGTCCGTTACATCTAGCCTCCCTTGGCGCCTTAAGAAAATCGAGCAATTAAAGCGAAATCGCTAGTCGAACCGGTCTCGACGACCATTCCTCGCCTCTCCATATTCTCAATCCAATCGTAAGATCAGCAATTCGCCGATACTTTCACTCTTCCGAGAAAGAAGAGAAACTAAAGGGGGGAAAAAAAAAATGCCGAACAATTCATGAAATCCACGAGTCACCCTACTGAAACTGTATCACTCAGCGATCAGGTTGCATCTCATTCTATACCGATTACAATGGAGAACGATATCGAGAAAAAAAAACGAAAAAAAAAAACAGCCTACATACAAGTAACATAAATCCTCGAAATTATTGATAAATAATACTTGATGAATTTATGAAAAGTTTCATAACGAAAATTCTCATTAATTCTTATCAGCGTGTCGCGTCGTCAATGATCACTCTTCTGGACAGGTCCGGATTGATCATGTAACTGAAAGCTGAATCATCGACTGGATTGGATTAGATATTGTGTCTGTGTTGTTTTTCAGCGGCGTCAGGATGTCTTCAATGAGAGCGTTGACGTCCCTTACGCAACCGAGCAATCAGATCGCTTATCCAGTACGCAGTGAGCTTTCGCGTCTTGAACAATCCTGACGGTCGTGACGTAAAAGTAGATCCGGATATGGCGGGACGTGCTTCAATTTGATACTCGCGATCGATGACGTAGATATATATAGTTGTAGACGTCGTTAACCCACGTGTCTTGTCCATCCTCGGTAAACGGTTCGATTTTCAGTTTGACTTGGTGCCTCGCGTCGGCGTCGCCTTGTACAAATAAATGGAGCAGCGACGGACAAGTTTTTACTGACTCGAGCGTCGAAGCTGGTCCCCCGGTAAAAAAATGAACCGCGCCCAGACGGTCTGGTCATTTTTACTTGCTCCCCGTAAGACCAGTTTGACCATAAATCGCAAACGGCCGACGTGGCCAGTCGGTACGAAGTGTCCTGTACTCACGTGTCCGTATACGAGACACGTACGGTATCTATGGGTTTTACTTGGCTGGCAATTGATATTGATGCAACTTTCCAATGCCCCATGGGTATTGCTTTCTACAACTTTCCGCGATGCCTTGATCATCCACAGTACCTTGCTACACGGTGGATGCCATTGGGGATAATTTGACTGGAAAAAGATGCGCTTCTTGATATTCGTTTTTTGCGTGAACGTACGCTGCAGCGTGGCTTGCACTACATTTTAAGTATAATTATTTAATCGCACTTTTTTTTTCATATAAATTTATAATAACAAACCTTGTAATACGAGTAATTATCGCTTTCAGGGCTCGGACCCGAGAGTGGCAACATGCCGAGGAAAATTGCAGAACAAACGGAGCAAGCTCAACCAGGAAATCAACAAGGAACTCAGATTGCGTGCGGGAGCCGAGAATCTCTTCAAGTAAGCCTTGAAGAATAGTTATTAGCCTCATCATTACTTATGATTAGATCATCCTGAATCACTGCACGAATAGTTCCCTTATAAGAGGTCGATAATTCGAGCAGCGTCAATGGCAGTGACGTAGTACGTTGTACACGTACGCATAATCATAAATAACTTCATTGTCATGCACTTGTGAAATAACAGTAGAATAATGTTCTGGTCTATTTCTATGATCCTTGAAAAGTCACTAACGAACTAGACGTCCAGGCGCGTGCATACCAGAGGGTATAATAGTAATCTCCTTATTTGGCCGACGAAGATCGCTGCTGGGTATAACGAGTTTGTAGGATTAAGAAAGGGGATGAGAATTCATTTTTTTTTTTTTTTTTTTTTCAAATTATACGCAGCATGCTACTTGCATAGAGAAAGTTCAGAGACATTTTTTTCCTGTACAAATGCTGGTCTAGATAAACGAAAAGTCATTGACCCTTGCAGTTACTTCAAGGTCACTATCCCGAGGGATACATTAAATAAATTACAGTCGCACCTTCCTCTAATATCACTCTGATGCCACCCTGGTACAAATTGCACGCCCTATGGGCCGAGTCGACCGATCACGTGACTCAGTCTTCACATTTCACATAAATAGATATAGATGTATATAATCTTCGCCGTAAAACACTAGATTACAGTAACGAAAAATTATTTCAAAGTACCATTGCTCGAGGCAACACGTAGTCCGTTACCACTGACACCAGATGATATCATCCCGAAGAGAAAATAGAGTAAAAATTGGTAAAGCCATCACGAACACGGTGCGAGTTAAATAAAAAATTAATCTGTCGTATGTGAGGACTCTCTGGTACGTCTAATTGACAATTTCCTGTTTCTTTTTCTGTTTCTCTCTCTCTGTCTCTCATCTTGGTCCACCTCCTTCAGAGCCACCACTAACCGGAAGTTGAAGGAAACCGTTGCCCTGGAGCTGAGCTTCGTCAACTCGAATTTGCAGCTGCTTAAGGAACAGCTGGCTGAGCTGAACAGTTCCGTGGAGTTGTACCAAAATGCCGACAAGTGAGTGTTTCATGTATTTACCTCGTAATTCGAGTCTGCCTCGTATCTTTCTGTTTCGAAGCACGTATAAGCTATTTGAAGTTTTTCATTTGTTATACATATGTATTACGGAAAAATGATAAGAAATACCAGTTATAAAAAATATATTGCACTTACGATGCTCTGAAAGTATTGTATATGTACTCCGTAGGTGCATTGAATCATTTACAGCAATACTGTCTTCTGTGATTAACTGGCTAAGTACCGTGGAATATTCACATACCTGAATCCGTAGATGGTTACTGTATATTACGAGCTGTATTAGATCCATCGTTACTGAGTGTGCGAACTCGTATACAATATCAAGCCTAATGATAGATAGCATTAGTATAACTATATACGCTCAAGCGGCCATAGATATTCCAAGTCGATAATAAACTATGGCACGAATCGTATCTTGGGTTTGTACTGTATCAGAGTACTTGGTAGCGATTTACCATGAGTAACTATGTATACACTGTGTATACACTCTACGGTATATACCGCGTATAACGTAGACAATTTTCTAAATCATATTCGAAATCGTTCCAACCACCTGAACCTGTAGTTGTTGTTTCTGAGCGTGTACCTGCGCAAAGCCCGTGCGCGTTAAACTTATATCGAATTGTAACATGCTTAGCACTGCAATACGGAAGCGAGGCGATACAAAATTGACTAGTAACTTCGTAAGACATCGGTAGAACGCGGTTGGAAGTTCTAGTGAGAATCTTAATTATTTCTATACTCGTAATCAGACGAGTCACGGTATCTAAGAGCTTGAACGGTAACATAATTTGTAATTGTCAATTAAGTAAGAGAGTTAGGTTAGATAGCCAGGAGTTATAGGGATAGCAGAGCACTTCTAGTCTTATTTGAAACACCGTTACCGACCGATGGTACAACGTACGAATAATTGGCATCACTTACGGTCTCCAGTGGTAAAAATAAACATATTTCTTTAAAATCCTTTTTCTTACGTCGTACATCTCTTTGTTCGTAAGGGAGGAGACAGATCGGTTCCAAGCTGTCGAGTTATCCATTCAGTCTCCGCGAATATCTTATATAACACCGTACCCACGTGTATACCTATGACAGCCATGATCCGCGTACTAAGAGCTTCACGAATAAAGGCAGGAACTCTCGTGTTAACTCGTTGTGTTATGCCGTTCCTTCGTATACCTGACTCCGTCGTTCTTCACGTCCGCACGTCTGTCTGTCCGTCGGTCCGTCCGCCATGCTTCGGTTCCTGGGTCACTGCCCGCCCACTCCGTAGACACTACACTCTTCTTTAAGTAGATATGGTCGCATTAAAGGCCGTTCCGAAGCCGTTTCTAAGGACGCCTCAACGATGCTTCGCCTTGGTAACGAGGATCGTGGTTTAACGCTTCGACCTGGGACTTACGATTGAAACGAAGACGCACTTTTTTTTTTACTCGTATAAATGCTAGTGACTGTCAAGCATCGTTATCGCAGTTGTACAGGATGAGGGATTGGCATACAAATATATTGAACTCGACGTTAAATATAGTCTGAAAAAATTCCTGTGACGATAGGAAAGGTAATTGTCTTTTGTTATTATTGGATTGTATACCTATGTTTTATACGAAACGTAGTGTATCGGGTATCAGACAATAGAGTCATATATAACTATGTATAGATACAAAGCCTTTTGTACGAAAGCGCTCCTACTTTTCTACGGCTTCTTAGTCTCACGTATTCGCAGCCGCACGTGGCTTTATAGGATTTTCTATTTGCTGAAAATACCACGTCCTAGCTATTGACCTAGATTCTTAAGGCGGTGCGCAAATTCATTGGACGATTCTTCTAGGGAGCTTCGTGGTACTTATTGCTTTTGTTGTGATTGGCTTACGGCAGCCACCGGGATAGTTTCAGTAGGGAGGACAATATTGACGATGATGCCGATGAGGTGAGAAACGCCAAGGAGAAAAACTGGACGAAAGCTGAAGGAGCGTATAACGTCGATCATAAGCAAACAGTGAATGCGCCGTAGGATAGGGTAACAGCCAGTAGTTATACTCAAACGGCTTTAACCACTTTTTGTGTTACCATTGCATATACGTATATAATCCATAGTAGTTATATCTGCTATTGTAGGATGCTCACTCATTCAATAACGGGAAGTCGGACCTATAGCTGCGGGAAGAAGCACTCGTGATTTATCGGTCGTATAACGTCACGGTGAAATCTGTGTCGCCAGACCGAGATTGCGACATCCACGACGTTAACGAGCGGAATCCTTTAGGTTTACCTCTCGAAAATGCGAATTCCTTTGACTAACGGAATGCAAGTCGTGCGTATGGTAATTAGGTGAATATTAGTATATGAGCCAGTATATCGTTCGGGTGAAATAATTTTAGGGTATTGTTAGTAATATATGGTTGTTATGAAAAACTTCTTTTTTTTTTTTTTAATTTTGAAAAAGTTTACCTAACGTTCCCGAACCTCTACGGATTTTCCAATGGATTTCTTGGATATCCTTGTTTATGGTCGAGTGGGAGGTTTTTTTTATGCAAATTCTCACGGTCTGACAATTCTTGGCTATGGTGTTGTAACGTTATTCCCGTTAACCGATCGCCACCAATTAATACTGCGGAAGAGACATGGATACCGGGTGTGTGAAATTACAGGATAAGTTCCTTAATCTGCGAAGAGAAAAAAAAAAGTGAATGAACCGTGGATGAGACGGATTTTCTTTTTCTATGATTTTGTCTATCTACGTAATCTTTTATTATTGGCGTATCTGGACGAGATCGATAGTCACTGCACGACCATCTTGAGAATTTAGAAACCATGATGAATCCCAGCGTAATTACAATTAATGAGGACCGATCGTCCCTTTTAAAGTCACCTTCGCCGATTATCAATAGCCGATATCAATGTTGTTTTGGTCCGTTTATGAAAAGGATACCTTGTCATTCGAAATGATGTTATTTTCAGTAATTTTATCATTTCTCAAAAAGCTTCTGTATAATTTATTTTGACATTAAATAAATAATTTATAGCTAAAAAAAATAATTTTATTAATTTTGCAGACGAAAGACTCAACTTTGGCGATGATCGGTTCGAACATTTAGCTATTTCCTAGACCGTCTATTACCATAAACCGTTAAGCCATGGAATTCTTAATAGATTTGGAAAGTCGCAACTAGTGCCGACGTCCGATAAATATAGGATAGTAATAATAATAACGTATTCTAGACCTATTCATATCTGGGCACTCTTTAATATATCATTAGTGAGAAACAAGCAACCGCGTATTTAATATTTATTTAATCTCTAATTATACTGCAATTTGCAGAACTTCTTCATTGTAACCTTTACTCGAGTGGCTTCGAGTGAAATTAAAATGTCAGCGAGCCACGACGATATTATGGGTTTCACGGTATTCCTCAAGTCCAGGGCTTTAACCTCGGACGCAAGAGGAACCAATGGGGTTTTAACGTGATTTTACATTCGACAGTCGCCTCGGGATAACGATATTTTACATAGATCGTTTTTCTTTTATTGCAGCGAGGAGCCTGTTATGCCAATGATCCCGTTGGGCCTAAAGGAGACCAAAGACATCGACTTTCGAGAACCGTTCAAAGTGAGTTTAATTGCTTGTAAATAATTTAAAAAAAAAAAATGTCAACAAATAATTTATTAACGTTTCGCCGCTGACACTGTAGAGCATTTCTTGTAGCAGAAAAGGTATTCGTTACAAAATTCATGTAATTAGCATCTCTTCGTTATTCCAACGGAAGATTCAAGGTCCGTCAGATTCCGTTATCCCACGGCCGAATAATGATTGGTAGTCTCTGCTTGTCGTAATTAAACATTACTTCCTCCGCGAACAGCCTTGGTAACACGTAGGATAACTGTGCCAAGATTTTGGCAAATGATTTCGTACTGGATAAGAGGATACGACAAAAGATTGTCAAACTTCCGGAAAGAATTGCATAATTATTTCAGGGACTTTCTGGTGGATCGTTCTACGCAGCTGTGACGACTGGAATTAAATTTTGTCGTTTTCCAAAAAAAAAAAAAAAAAAAAAATAGTGCGACATCTTCGTTATCGTTAGACCTGCTTTCTCCGGGAACAATTATTCCCAGTCGTCCACGTACAATCGGATGATTTTAAAAAAAAAAAAAAAAAAAAAAATAGTGCGACATCTTCGTTATCGTTAGACCTGCTTTCTCCGGGAACAATTATTCCCAGTCGTCCACGTACAATCGGATGAATCGACTTCAACCAATCGAAGCTTCATTCGAGCGGCGGCACCTCTGGGTTATCCACAAAGTTTCGGGGGGTCGTCATTTCTTGGGATTTTTGTTTCGATGGTTTCTGACCATCCTTTCGAACGATTTTTGAAAAATCCATTTCATCTCTCGGCGGACCGATTTCTAAGAGTTCGCGTTTCGAAATTGGTCCGGTTGCGTTTACCGTTACTTTTGGAAATACTTTTTTCTCGATCCTGCTCGATTTCCTGATGGTTTCAAGCTGGTTCAGGCGAGGCATAGTTATCACCAGGTGTCCCGTTACGACATTCCGTTTGACGGAACTCTTCTGGGTCAAGACCTCACAAGGGAGGGTCAGTTGTAGCACTTTTCCCTTTATGGTCACTCGTACGTATCGAGGCTGCACGTCTACCTCGAGATAAGATGTGTCCAAGTGTCTGGAAAATTGACGCACTGATTCCAAGGTCTGTTAGGTAGAATGGCGGATTTCTAAAAAAAATGGGACTGGTATCGGATCGTCAAGCGATCGAATGATAAAGCAGTGAGATTAACGAAAGGATATTTTTCGAAAGGAGTCATTGTCTTGAGAGAAAAAAAATGAATAAAACGGAATTTTTTAATGACATTGAATTTGAATATTAATGACATTTTAAGACTGTCGACTCAATGCTCACGAGACGTTCGCGTGTATCCATTGTTCACAATTGAAATAATGAAAAGTTGACTCATGTTTTTTACGTTACGTCATGCAGAAATATGAAAAATATTTTTTCACTGTGTATCCTCGCACGATTGTCGTATCTGCCTTGTTCCCGAGATGCGTCACTGTTTTGAAATATTTTAAATATTACTTTGGGATGTACTTACTTGTAGATTGCCACTTCGAGAATGACGTTATCACGGCAGTCCTCGTCATTTAACGTGAACGACACTTTAGCTTGATTCACGTTGTAGGCTCGCCCATCGGGACTAAAAAGCTTTAGGATCCTTTTGGGTTCGTCGGTTTTTTGGATTTGAGCTTTTTTACGTTTCTCTTCAATTTTCAATGTTCGTTCGGCTATGGCGAGTCTGTCCTCGGGTGTGTGGTAACTTGTACTTTTCCAAAAATTTTCATTTTCAACTTCCTCATCTTCCTGCAACGTCGTTAGGTCATTTTATTTATTTATTAATTTTTTGAATTTTTATTAACCCACCTTTTCGAGACCGTCCTCATTAATTTCTGTTATTCGTAATTTTTCTCGCTCCTCGTGACGATGTATTTGCTTTTCTCTTATCTTGGCGTACCTTCTGTAACCTCTGATAACGTCACCTTCCACCTCTGCATATCTCTGCAGACCCTTAATACGTTCCGATCTGTCGATCGGCGTCATATCCAATTCCCTCAATTGCGGAAGCGACGCCACCACGTAGTCCCTGTAGCCTTCATAATCCGTACATGGATTTCCGGTGAGTATGAGCTGCTCCAAATTTTCATTGTATCTAAAAGACGGTGAAAATAGAAAATATTCCATAAAAATATATTCCATCGTACCGTAATTTCTTTACACCCTGTAGATCTCCAATAAAATTAATGGTGAGATCCAATTTCTTGAGGCTCTCCAGCCCTTCGAGATTCTCAATAACCTCTATATTATTCAGTGCCAAATTCAGATACTCCAGTCGCTTAAGCATCTTTAAATTTTCAATCTTCGATATCAAATTGTATTGCAACAGTAGGATCTTTAAGTTCCGACATGCTTTGTCCACTAATTCAATCTTCTCGATGTTCTCTTGATGCAAAGATATTTCCTCCAGCGTCCCGATCTCACCCTCGTTGTGCTCTGACCGTTTTCGTATCAATTCTACCGTAATTCTGACCATTCCTCACGGTTGCTTTAAGCGTCTTAACGGTAACGTCTTCACGGGTCGTGTGCATTTGCGCGAATGCGGTTAAGGCAGCACCGTGATATTGGGTATAAAGTATCGATTTAATATCCCCTCGCAACCAGTGCTGTACTCATATTAGGGAGTAAAAATATATTTTAATGCAATGAGAGCAGCGATTGATAAGGATTCCTTACATATAATAATCACTCATAATCGTTGAATGTTTTTCTTCATCATTCATTCCTCTCTAAAAACCACTTCATTCCTGCAGGACTTCATCTTGGAGCATTACAGCGAAGATGGCGGTAATTACGAGGAAGCAATAGCCGATCTCATGGATACTAGACAGGTAAGAGATAGAACAAAATTTTTTTTTCAATTTAACTTTAAAGCTCGAAAAAACTTCTCTCGCTTATAACGGGAATCAGCGCAATTATTGCACTTGAGCGGAAACATTTGTTACATACCCAAGCAGAAAGACCAAACCTTTCGTTTAAACGTCACAAATGAGCATACCACGTACTGTACGTATACTATGGTATATAGTGTAATATGATATACTGTAACGTACGACAAATCAGAAATTCTATTGGTTTCGGTCCTTTCGCTCGAATCTTCCGTGTCGTCGACAATAAGGAACTTTCGAACGACTTAAAGACTTTTCCGATCCGTCCAGTCGGAGCATTTCCTGTGTTATTAGTTGTCATTATGAAATTCTTTTGCTTCTTAATGCAGGCCATGAGGACACCGACCAGGGATTCTGCAGGAATAGCATTGCTGCTCCGTTATTACAATCAGCTATACTTCATCGAGAGACGCTTCTTTCCGCCTGACAGAAGCCTAGGCATTTACTTCGAATGGTTCGACTCGCTGACGGGTGTGCCCAGTTGTCAACGGACGGTTGCTTTTGAAAAGGCATCCGTTCTTTTCAATGCTGGGGCATTATACACTCAATTGGGAGCGCGGCAGGATAGGCGCACTGCGAGAGGACTGGATCAGGCTGTAGATGCATTTTTAAGAGCTGCCGGAACTTTTAGGTACATCCATGAGAACTTTACGAACGCACCGAGCATGGATTTGGGTCCTGATATGCTGGAAATGTTGGTCCAGTTGATGCTGGTAAATTCTGGTTTTTTTTTCGTATTTTTTAATGGTAATAGGCTAAGTGGAGATGATTTTATGATAGGCGTGTTGGATTATATTAGATATTTGTAGATGATCATATGATTGTATTTTGTACGGTTTGTATAGGAGTTTGTGATATTTGTATATGGCATGCTGCGCGGCTATTTTATTTTATTCAAAATTATTACTGTGTCTGTCATAGAGACACGGTCACATTATCATAGATTTTTGATTACAATGGAATGACTAATGACAAGGAGGATTGTCTACGGTTTTGAATAGTCTGGCGTAGAAAGTTACTCAAAAAATTAGCATAGATCGTGACGTTTGAGCATAGGGAGGCGCGGCAGGCAGTGTGACTGTGCTTTAAAAAAAAACAATTTTGACTATGATATTTACATTTTGTGCCGTTAATTTTGTTCCCTTGCGCAATCCATCCTGTGTAAAAATGTTATCCTGTTGTAACGGGTATCCAGAAAAAAAATTAGGAAATTATAATTAAACGTATCCGTTAATATCTGAGTCGAATATACCTCGGTCTTCTCGAGGTATGCGATAGTTGAGATAAGATACCTACATTTTATTTTCATTCACTTTTGATTTTAGGCACAGGCGAGAGAATGTCTTTTTGAGAAACTGGAACTGCAGTCACGAGACAGTCGAAACGTAGACGTTTCTTTGGACCTAGCTCAGGAAGCTGCACAGGTAATTTTTTATAATGAAAATAATGAGTATACGTAGGTCTTATTGGAAATGCAGATATAATAAGCAATCGATTTATTTATTTTACAGGTAGCAGCCGTATATAATGATGTTCACGGTTTTATATCACGGGAACCGGTACGTGATTACGTACCAGAATCGTGGATATCACTTGTGCTGGTAAAACGTGAGCATCATCTCGCTCTTGCGCATAAGCACTGCGCAGCCGGTCTTCTTGACCGACCAATCGCTGAATTTCGTACCGAAACGCGACTCATATTGGAGCATATCCAAGAGAGCGATGGAAAGACACAGATGGATGTGACAGTCCCAAAGGACGACAATGAACGTAAATTATTGGGTAAGATGAACATAAATTTTTGTATTCTGAAAAGTCTGTTGAATAATATTCTCTATAGCTAATAATAATTTCTGTACACAGGACGAGCACATCTAAGGGAGGCTCTGGTACTTCACGAGGAGAGTCAAAGGTTACAGAGGATGTGTAGAGAACTTAAAGGGAAGCAGGCTCTAGCTAGGTTACTGAAGAGAGCTCAGGACGCCACTCTTGAGGATTACAATAGATCGGGCGAAGAAGACGATTTTCGAGAACTTCTTGATCCTCCTCACATACTTGGTACACAACATTACGCCTGATTATAGTTAATTTATTTAAATAGTTACTAATTTAATGGTTTAATTGATGGTCATATGTTTTGTTGCTTCTAGCCTCTACCAAGTTTCAACTCAGTCTGACGCATCCGGACTTTGGTCAGCACGGGGTGGATGATCTATTTAGATCATTGGGACCGGTGGCCATTTTCTCTGCTAAAAGGCATTGGACTGCTCCTAGATTGGTTCAGTTACAAAGAGGTCCTGGTGGTGAAGGATTTGGGTTTAGCGTCCGTGGGGACGCACCTGTTATCGTTGCAGCTGTGGATCACAATTCCTTGGCGGATGTCAGTTGATAATATTGTACTCATAGATAATTTGTAGAGAGAAGAAAGAAAGTAACTAAAAAATTAATTTTTGTAACAGCTGGGTGGAATGAAAGAAGGCGACTTCATAGTCAGCATTGGGAATAAGGACGTGAAGTGGGCTTCACACGATCAGGTCGTACGACTGATTAAACAGTGTAGGGATTCTATCAGTTTGAAATTAGTTACACCGATGGATAGAAATTACCTAAAGGTGAATTTCACGATCTAAACTTAGCATAAGTTCTGAAAAAGCAACAAAGGTAGAATAAATTCTTTGGTTACATTTAGAAACCAGTGAAAGCCAGTCACCACGACAAAGGAAGCGTATCCGCAAGCAGTTCTTCAGGAGTCTCTTCGGGTCAGCCCAGTCCTGCAGGATCAGTAACAACAGCTCACGTCGCCAGAAGACTTCCTTGGAATCCTTTTAAAAAATCAGGTGGTCAACGTGACAGCAGAGATCTTACGTTTGACAACGTGATCCTCAGATGATCCAGATTTCGCTGTCGGCATCTGCAGCGACTGGCAAAGTTAATGCATTGCATTTGAGTCAGAATTTATATTTTTTATATCAATGATAAAGACAACGGTGTATAAATGTTTATCTGCTACACTTGTACTTATACATGTTTACATGATTTCTTAACGAAACACTGTCATCAGATTTTGATTTTAAAATTTATTCATAAACTTGTAAATACGATTGGCGATAACACAGACGAGTTATTATTATCGACGTACGTGGAAATGTATAATGGCATGATTTTTTATATACTAACAATCTGGAATTTTTATGAATTTCGTTATTTCACTTAAAGTTGCAAGACTTTACATAACGGAAAAGTTTCGCTCGAAAGTCGTTGCCAAATTATAAGCTGAATTACCTTAAGTACGACTAGCCGGTTAAATTTAGCCTAGGCTTCATTTAGAACAAAACTCGTTTGAGAGAATAAATAGTGTTTTATATACACGCATGTACATAGTCATACTTGAGTAGACGTATAATTCATACAAATAGTTACATGCATCTATAAGGTACATTAATACGTTTAATATTAATAATCATATTATTGAAAATAGTATGGTACATACTAAATACTGTATATATATAAATACATAGAACATTAGTATGTTCTATTCATAATTTGCCATATGAATGTTAACGGGGATTTTGAAAAAAAATCGTATTACAAATTTATAATTTGTGTAAGCTCACCACCAAGATAGAGCGAGCCACGCCTTTCTCGAAAGATCGAGATAAAAAAATCTAAAAGGCAGTTGGACCTAGGATGTCGTGAAAAAGTAAAGTAAATCCACCAAGAGTGGATTTTGCATATCCATTCTTTTGGTAGATCTACTTTTTTCGTATCGTTACCCAGCAAACACATTTTGTAACAGCTACATATCAACGACATAAATTCTACGTCGTTATACAGCAGCTATGGAAAAGTTATATAAATATGAAAAACGTGTTTGCTGAGTTAGAAATCTTCTAACCACAAAAATGATAATTATTTGTAGGGATTACAATTAACCCGCTACTAAATACACAAATTCTCGCGACTTCAGCGATTTTCTTAACGATTTCCCTACCCGTTAGTGTTTATATAATTGTCTTATACTGTATATGAAATACTGTTAAGAATGATGTATTGAAAAGAAAAATTCTGAAAAATCTGCGACTTTTCATTTCCCAGATGCAATGTACCATATGCTATTTTAAGAAATATTTTCAGAAACCATTATGTTACATAAGACAACGTTGATATAGAAACTTTTGTGATAAAGGTATCCATGACTTTGGAATATCCATGTTTAATTCTATTGCATTATGAAGCTCTGACCGGAGGTTTATCATCTCTTTCTCTCGTTTTGAAAGATTAAGTAAGATGACCAAATAATGACCTTGAAGTGCTTCTACAAAAAATCTCTTTGAATGCTAAAGTTAATGCAAATATTTACAATTTATTAAATTCAACTCAAACAATTATCTCAGGGATTAACATCACGAGTAGAGAATATTCCCTAATTTGTAAATATTTCATAGATGTGTTCAATAGCACAACATATTTCATATGTCAAAAAATGCTAATTAAGACAAATCTCATAATCTTCCATTGATTTAATTACACGGTAGAAACGACAAAGTCTATTTACTTTGAAGGTCTAGACCATGGTCAAATAAATTAAAAACGTGGTTAATAACACGTATGGAGATCATAAAATGCAATGCAGAATGCGCACTACAATACGGGGACTTTGGTACAGGCAGGAAATCATTATTATTTTTGTCATGCTCCTCTCAATCGAGGATAACGTGTTACATCAATGTCACAACTATTAACCTTTCTTATTTCGTAAGCAAACTAATAAAACTGCCGAATACATCACGCAAGAGGCGGTTATGAAGTTTGAATAGCTGCCAATTGCACTGGTAATTTTAATCCTTAATCGTTTTGGGTACGACTGTTAGAAGAGCTACAGGTTCGCAATTATTGTCATTCAAATTCATTATATAAGACTAATTATTTAGCATGAAGTCACAATCATGGCGGATACTGGATAATAGAAAGAGAGTAACGCGGTAATTTCATTTGGAAGTTAACTGGAAGTCACTAGCCTAGAGTGCAGGGCGATGCACTTTCTTTTCAGTCGATTGTCGTTCCGGTTTTTAAGGTCAGCAGAGAAAGTGCAGTCAATCCTCATTCGTGTATGTGTGTGTGTATATATATTTATACACATATATAATATATATATCAAGTTATTCTTGGGATATAAGATATACATACAGTTTCAGTGCAATTTAGCCGACAGAAGATCCGCACTCATGCATCTCTTGCTGATAAGCACGCGTACATCATAAAATACATAAAATAGCATTTAAATGCGTGGAAAAGTCTGAAGTACTAATTGGTAACGTAGTCATGACTGATACAACATCGTGGCTCCATTAGATTCACGTAACGCACTTCACGCCAATCAAAATTCATCATTACAAAATCAATACGTGGTCGTGCATATATTGGATTGACTTCAGTTCGTTCTGTTCACGATTTCGCTTTCCCCTTCGATACCTTGCAATTTCCACAACCTCCCTGGAGTATTTCGGCTTTCGAACTTTTCCCCGATTTTCGTAAACTTTCCACTTGCATACGAGAGAAACGAAATCTTCTCAACCTCCGGGGTAAACGAAAAGACAAAAGTTTTCTTGAAAACGAAAGCTTCAAGATTTTCCAAACAAGCACTAAGCAATTCGCATGTACAACTACTGCAGTCAGAATCGAACCTAATGCGCATGCGCGAACCTGTAAGAATTCTGGAAGTATCTCTTCCCTTTGTCGAAATCGTCGAAATCATATTTGTATCTATACTCTGTCGATATATTAAAATTTATTTTTTAGTTGCATACGAAGTCTGGAATTGAGAAGAAGGCTAGACTATTCCTTAGAACCTTTCTTCTTTCTTTTCTTTTTCTTTTTATTTATAGTGAAGCAGTGAAAGTTGCCTCGGCGGAACTACGAAGGTTCATGAAATGCAATGAGGCACCCGTGCATAACGCCTGATCTTTATATATCACTGTCTCTCTTCGTTTCCCTAAAAATCCCTATAAAAAGTGTATTAACTCGTAGCTTCTTGATGTTCTAGACCGAATTCATGCGAAAGTCTAACGTGTCGATTATTTTTAAATGATAAAAAATACACAAAAAGTTCAAGAGAGATTCGTCAAATAGGTTAGGGATGAACAGATTAAGATCAGCATTTCACGATCTGTCTAATCTATACTATACTTAAGACCTTCATAACCTAAGAACACGTGACTTAGATTGATTATGCAATCGTCAGCACGGAGCGAGGACTTCTTTGCTTGGTGAAAGTTGTGGTACTACCTACTCCTACTGGTCGACTTAGCACAGTCGCTCTGCATCCCAGTTTTAGTCAATTTTTTAATCTCTTTAAATGTTAGCCTATGCATGCTTAATAAACTCGCTTAGAATTCACTGAGCAATCGACGATTATTGTTTTTGTTTACACAAAATTTACATATCATAACATTGCGTCATAAAAGTACGTGATCCCTTAGATCAGTAAGTCATATCTTAGATTGGACTGTAATCAAATTAACTGTTTTATTGGCAAGTCAGTATTTTGAAAAATCATAACAAATATTGGTATTTGATAACAGAATTCCTCAATGTTTTATTCTTCTTCTTCTTTGTCCTTTCGCTTGTATACGGGATGATTTTTCATAACGTTTCCTATTTTAGTGGAGAGTATTTCTTAGAGGTACTCCATAGAGAAAGGGTATAGAGGCTATAAATGTTGCTTCTTGGTGGAGTCGCGCATGCGCAGTTGCCACTCGCCGGAAATATGGAGACAACAATGTTCTCTTCTGATTGTTGGCTTGGTTCTTCTCACGCAACTCGCGCAGTGACGGTTTAGGCTACCAAGGGGAAAGACGTGCGCTCCGAGCAGCCATAGCAGCTTAAGATTTTTGCTAAGGAATCATCACTCGGTGAGTAGCTTTTTGAATATTTTAACATATTATTTAAATTAGTATGCTAATAACCTGCTAAATTGAATGGAATAAAAGTGTATACAAAAAATCTTTGAAGATTTCGGTACTTTTGAAGATCTTCACTGTGGCTTCCGAGACATTGAAAGCAAGACAAAATATTTTTCTAAACTAATAAAATGGATTTGTTAGAAATTACTTGAGAGAAAGTTAGTTTAACGATACATCATACTATAATTCTGCTAACTCGTTAACGTCGATATAATCAGAACTCGTATTTTCATTTTTATAAAATTACTATAACGTGTGCATGGCGTACGGATATGTTCACGTATAGTAACCGGGTGCGCATACACTTTATCAGAAGTAGGACGGCAAGATTTTATCGCATACCGCGAGAACCGACTAAATAAAGGTTCTTTCACATAAAGTAGCCGACGAAAACGTACAATTTGGCCATTGTTGTCACGCTGTTAAAAGGACTCATGGAAAACGTACCATAATTCCTGAAAGAACTGATGAAAAAAAAAAACAAAGATGGAAGGCGTTTCTCGTGGATGTCCCACTTGGAAAGTGTAACACACCGCAGTACGTTGAAATTTTCATTGACTTCGTAGCTAACAAGGTCATTTTTATCTTTCGACTTGCTACCGTACACTTTTTAATCGCGACACTCGGCTGCACGCTGAGAATGCATTATGAGATGTTTCAAAATGAAACTATCCTTGTGTCAGATATTAGAAAGGGCAACGCGCATGCGCATCGCTGTAGTAAAGTTCGTTAACTCTTATTGCCTTTCCGACATATAACCTTCATACTTCGTAATTCCATACGAATAAAAAGCGTTGGGTTTTATGAAAATAAATTGACAAATTCCTTAAGCCATTCATATATTTAGATTTTGTAATAGGTAATTATTATTTATATAGTCTGGTCTGTACGATCTTTTAATATAAATTGTGTTGTTTTAACGGTTCTAGAAAACAAGTTATCGAATGTTACAGCCAGTCAGATTCCGAAAGACAAATTCAAATTTCTACTAAGCAGAGGACGAGCAGTAGATTTAAAAATTGTTATTAACGGATTTGAGATATTAAAGGTGATTATACTGGGTGAAGGTTTTGAGAAATAAATCGAAGGTCCGTGAATGCGGTTATTGAGGTGGTATCGTCCAATAACATTTTTTTAATTTGTATTCTGTTGGCATTCCAAATGGCAGATGGCTCATTGCCATACGTAAACCATCCAATGGCTAATTTCTTAGCATAAGTATTCTCACCTCTTGCATAATGCATTGTTTCTTTTAGAACGTAATTTGATCCACGTGAAGATTCATTGTGTCAGGTCACGGTTTAACAAATAATTCGAAGGATGTTTATCTAGTATCGTAAGGAAGCACGTAATGGAAAAATTACATTACGTATTTTTCCTAATGTGAAATTGAATGATTACTGAACCTAATGGAAAATCTTGAGGATATCTTAACTGTATAATGGTCATTTAGAGGTCCAAAATTATTTTTTTACTTTCAAGTTATTAGACTTTGAAAAAAATATTTTTTAATCTAGCCAGTTGTTTAGGTCACCTAGAACTAGGTGCTGAGAACAATTATTTAATCGCTTCAAATATGTACAATTTTGGAAGTGAAACGATTGACATACAATGCTGCAAACCAGGGAAAGTCGTAAAGGCTACTTTACACGGCAATTAACGTGCTGAAATGACTCGTCGAATCATTTCCTTTACTTTGTTTTACTTTTTTTTCTTCCTGGTGATACGAAGCGTCCAGTCACGATATCACTTAACTCTCGATAAAGGCATTTCGAAAAATACTTTCTCATCTACAAGATTATAATCTTCACGTTTTGTTGGCTGCGATCATCCAGCGAATCGAACGGCAGGATATCCAATGAGAAATTAGCGTGAGTTAAAAACGCATGTGTATGCAATAAACGATATAAAATCAATGAACAACTATCACTCAGCCAAACAAGTCACGGACGGTTTCAAACTGTCGCAATTTCAAGTGAGCGACAATGAAGATAGCCGCGCGTTACCACCTTGCTGGCAAATCATTGAACAAATTTATTAATAACGTACTTTCATAGAAGAAAAAAAAAAACTTGAATTCTAATGTCATTCAATTTTGAAAATGACCTATGAGAAAAAAATTACGAAAATAATTTCTCCAGTCAGATGGGGAACGCCAACTGTTTCGATTGGGAAAAAATTGAAAAAAAAAATGAAAAAAAGTGCCCCTGTTACTCGTTCAAGCGGTCCAGAGAGACGCGAGGAGAAAGCAAAATAGAAGGCTACGAGAAGAAAGTGAATCTTCGTCTGTACCGAAGATCTTACCAGTGTGGATTCAGCACGCTAGAACCAAAGTTAACTTGGGTCTTGTTCCATAGTGTTTCAGTGCGGTATTCATACTGGTTAGATTTTGATCGATGCAAATTAATATGTCCATTTTATTTAGAAGAAAATGTGCACATACGTCCTGCGTATGGTGAAAGCGTTAAAATAACCTGAAATGTAAATTCACAATATTTATATAAAATCCAAATGGTATCTGCCAGTTGTAATTCAGTAACACCACCTCTATGGTTTTACCTGATCTTGAAAGTTGTTTAGTGCTTTGTGGTATTTTTCATGGAAATCACGGAAACGATCGTAACGAGCGAAGCGTGATTGGTAAATTGTAAATGTGCTCTTGGGATCCTGAAAATTCGAACGTCCACTCTCCTTAAATTGCTCGACGGTCTGTGCAGGCTGGTTACTTTGGTTTAAGTGATCGACTGGTGAACATCGTAGCAGCCGCGGCTGACACGTTACCTTCGCTTTACTACTGTACAAAAGAAGCATCGGTGTGTACCAAGTGTTCGTTACGATTAGTGGGGAAATTAAAAAATTTCAATTCCGTACGAAATTAATATGATTGAAAATTAATAATAAATAATTAGTTTCGAAACACGCGGGTCATTGTCGATTTCCTTTGACAAGAAGCAACCATATAAATACTCTTAGGCTAGAGCGAAAGTATAATTACAATTTGCAATTGCACTGCCAATCAATTGCTTCGTTTAATTACCTTACGAAAAAAACGATCTCGACCTTTCTGCGTTACAATAAAATTTCACATTCTAAGTAAAATTCATGTTTCTGGCCTAATTAACTGCGATACTTTTTCAAAACAATTCAAATTTACAAATAAACCTAATTTTCTCCTGAATTTAATATTATTATATAATTTTACTGTTTGGTGGAAATGGTAAATAATTATTTTTTTAAATACTAATCGATTATAAAAATAAGGCAAATTTTATAACTGATCTGACTGATCTCGCTGCTTGTATCTTTACTTTTGTGTCTCGATATCTGCAACTTCAAATAGAAAGCTGTATGCTGGATATACGTGCATGTATATATACATGCGTAAACACACGTTTCATTACACTCTTACAGCTTGGTTCACTTTCATTTTCGTACACTCACTATCGATTGCCAAACATAACGAAAAGTGTCGATGAATTGTGTAACACTAAATTAAAATCTCTTTTCACTCTGTCATAACACAGGTGCTTCATACTTTGATTTCACTTTATCGTATTCAGATGATAATTTAGGAATTTAAAAAAATTTTAAGGCTTCACCATTGTATAGGGTATAAACAAAGGCAAATACTCATTACACAATAATGAAAGTATCGTATCATTATTACTTGTAGTATGTCACAATTTCACAGGTTTTAACAAAAAAAAAAAGTCATTTTGCTGTACCTATACTGAGTTATGCTAATAAGAGTAATTCAGTATTCGCAAATAAGTTAAGCGATGACTAAGCTCCATCTTTACCCTGACTGTCAACCAGCTGATTGGAACTTATAAAATAATTATGAGAAAAATGCTTATGTCTGTATAAACATTACAACATGTTGAAGTATGCTTAGAGTATGCAGATATCCCTATTGCGACGAATCTTGTTGAATTGGATAAATTAGAATGTGCAAATAATAAATTGTATAGAAGTGTATATGCTAATTGTCTTGTCATTAATTGTGTATGGTGCTTATTAAATTTAATGTCCCTTTTTTTAATTTCAGACAATGGGAATGGGTGGACATGAAGAATTTAATTACGAATGTGGCCTGAGTAATGAGGCTCAAGTTGCAGCTAGGACTGAACTCAGAGAAGATGAGAAGACAAGAGAGCAGGCCTTGGAACAGTTCAGACATTGGATTCAAAAGCATCCGACCATAAGAAAATGTAGAACTGATGCTGTCTTTCTTTTAAGATTTCTCAGAACTAAGAAATTCAGTGTACCTATGGCCCAGGATATGCTCGAACGTTATCTCACTATCAGACAATTATATCCCAATTGGTTTCAAAATTTGGACATTGAAGATCCTGACATCGAGGCCATCATTGATAGTGGATACTTGGTGCCTCTACTGGAAAGGGATGAGAATGGACGTCAAGTCATTCTTTCCTGTGCTGGTAAATATTTTCAATTACAAAATATGTTATTTCCTTAAGTTATGGTAAATTCACATTAAATTGAACTTTTCTTGACATTAGGACGATTCGATCCATACAAATACACATCTGCCCAAATGGCCAGGGCTCACAGTCTGGTAGTAGAATCTCTGATGGATCATGAAGAAAATCAAGTCCGGGGTTATACTCATGTAAATGATGAATCAGGACTTACCATGGGACACGTGAGCGCCTGGTCTCTTACCGATATCAGAAACATGTTAAGGTGCATTCAGAATAGCACACCTATGCGCCACAAGGAGACCCACTTCATCAATATACCCAGTTGCGCCACTAAGATCATTGAGTTTGCCGTTTCTCTACTCAACGACAAGCTCAGAGCTCGTATCCATGTAAGTTGATTCTATGGTTATGATCTAGGTGTTAAGTGGTTAACGAAGCACTGAACAATGTTTTAACATAATTAAACTGGTAGTGACATTGTACTTTGTGATTGTAGATACACAAAAGTCTGGATGAGCTCAAGCAAGCCATAAATCCTAAGATACTACCAAAGGAATATGGCGGCAAAATACCACTTTCGGAAATGATTGGTAAGTGTTTTTAATGGAACGTTTTTCTATGTTTTTGGAAATATTTTTTTATTGAAAACGATGACTCCCTTCAGCTTCTTTCAAAAAAACTCTACACGCGAAGAGGGACCAGCTTAAGGCACTTGATGATATGTATATTGAAATCTCACCAAAGGACAGCTGTGCTGCTTCGAGCGAAGGTTTGGGTGGGATTTCCGGTTCCTTCCGGAAGTTGGAGGTAGATTAACGTGACGGCTGAAGCGCGGATAGGAATTAAAATTTTTTTTAAGGTATCCTTAATAAGCTCGGACTCTGTTTTACAATCATTGATATGGGAACAACTGTGACAGATAATTATTTTTAAAATAGAACTCATTCGTGTCTTCCACAATACCAGCATATAGCGAACATCTAATGAGGTTAATTATTTTAATTGCAATTTCTATCATTTAATCGACACATTTGCTCTTGTATCAATGGCTTTATTTCTTGTATATAATGTAACCGGGTATGAAAGTGATGATGTTCAATTTTGAAAATATTTTTTCAATGCTATATTTTTAGAATATATTTTACTTTAATATATAGACATGTATAATATATAAGAGAGCCTATATAGTAGCCTAAATAGCATAGTCTTTTCTACAGACAATATGTACTGTCCTGTCGGTGGAAAAAGTTACCTACATGAATTCTGTGTCGATTCAAAAGACATAAGGGGTCAGATAATTATATTGTAACTATATATATATATATAGCATTTGTTAAAGATACCTCTTAAGATTTGCTCTTTGAAAAAGTCAATTGCTTCAATGTCGCTTAGAATTAAGAATATTCAATTATTTTTCATTTTTAATGAAACTTTCACTCCTCGTAGCTAAAAAGATTAGAATGTCACATTAAACGTCTACTTTTTGACTTTACTATTGACAATTGAGAAATCTAATATTATTTGCATCCATGTCAGAGTTATTTTCCGCAAATCGAAAATACATCGAAACTATTGTCGCTTTTCGCGATGCCGAATCTACTGCGCGTATTTGACAGAATGACGGAAGTTAAGGTTAAACTGAATTCGACCTTTTTGCCAATCAACGAATCTTATATTTCTAATATTTTGTTATTATAAAACGCAATGGAGTGTGCTGCGTGTTCCGCGGAAGAAGAGGAAGATCTTACGACGTCATAGATATATGCTAAGATGACAGGTAATGACGGTTTTGATAACGAATAAAGTAAAACGTAATTTTATGATTTAAGTAAGTACGCATAAATTTTCATTTAAACTTTAATTAGTTGCAGATCAAAATTTATTACAATTAATTATCTCTCTCGTACCGTTTCTTCGTATTCCAGTTGTATATGATATTCTCTAGCAGGCATATTATGAGGGACAGCATAACTCCCAGCAATAGTAAAAAAATTGCCGCCTTTATTTCAGTGAATGTCACACTGTTCACGGTTTGCTGTACATTTACACAGATTGGTTTTCTTGCACTCCAACGAATTGCCTGTCGCTTTCTGAGTCCCATATCATTGATCTTTGCTAATCTAAAATGCATTACAAATATTTTTAGCATAATTAAAAGGAAATATCTTTAAAATATATTCGTACCCGACTCTTGCGATTTCGCGAAACGGACTGTGGTGACCCACCCATGCTCCCAGTCCTTGTGGGTGATACAGATGCACTTCTGACAGTCTACATATCATTTCCGAAGTGAATAATTTTTCCATAAGAGGATATCCTCTATTGGGGTCGCAATGGTAAGCAAAACCACCACGAGTAATACGTTTCAAACCCTCTTCTAGTGGTAAATATTTTTTAGCATCCGACATCTTTGACCAACGTTTCTCCTTCAGCATTTGCACTTCCCAATCTGTGGATGTCTTTACCAAAAACACAAAATAACATAACAGGCCGTTTATGCGAAAGAAATAAATAACTTACCTCCAGTAGATAATCATAGTAAACAATACGCTCGGCTGCAATATCCATGTTACTTTCAGCAAGTTCATTAAGCGAATCGTTTATCTTATCCAATGGTTGATTTAAGCGAACCGAAACAATACAAGCGGAATAATAATTGAAAATTAGTAGACTAAAGAATAACAGTTGCAGGAACACCAAGCGACCAGTCAAGAAGTTCGGAATCACCGAGGATCCTAAATAAAAATATAAATAAAACTCATAAAGTATATTCGTATATTGTTTTATATTTTATATTTTTTCTTGCTACCTTGTTGACAGAGTATACATATGGTAGAAAATAAAGCGATTCCGTACTGCCGAATCCAATGATCAATTTTCTCGAAAGCCAATGATATAGAAAGAATCAAAGCGATCAGTATGGTTAGGGCTCCAGTAGCATACCAAGAACCAGTGGAAAATGGTTGTAGCAATTCATTTGTTGATCTCAACGGTGAAGATAAGAAGAAGAAGCATGTCCTAGAAGAAGACATGACTTTTAATCAGCTTGACAATTATAGATTTTGACTTTACCGAAAATTCCAAATTGGCATGACTAATTCACCCAATGGAAATCTCTTTTGATTAATGGCCCCAGGACTTCCTGTTATGTCGGCAAATCCACGATTTAACATGCCCATCATTCCTGTATGAGATCCATTTTCTGCGATTTCGTCCCAATAAAAGTCTGTAGAGAGGTCCATCCTAAATTAATAATAAATATGACAAGTATAGGATAATATTAATATTTAAAATCCAATGCCTGTTACATACGTGAAATTAAAAATATCACATAAATGTTGCATCAGGGGATAAACAAATTTGGACATAAGATCGATTGACTTGTTTGAATAATCTTCTAAATAATCCTCCAGTCGAGTATTGTTCGGTTTAAACTGCGTCTGCATGGATAAATATTTTTATTGATACGAATTATTGTTTTTCTTTTAAATATCTTTAATACTTACCACAGTAAGAACTCTCAGAATCATTCCATGATAGTTTGCACGTCTATTAAATTTACTGTGTGTCAGTGTAATATTCAAGCCTGAACTTCTATGCCAGTCGCCAAGCTCCGTGACGTTCAATGATCCACCGTGGTATTTCGAAGGATTGTAAACGTCATGGAGTACGTAACCGTCTAGTATTGGAGTTGCTATCACAAGATCAGTTACCACACTGTAGGTACTGTCATTTAAACGAGGCAACACACTGTCAAGACTTTCTCCAAGAATCAGCCAATTGTATAAGTTTGTATAGGTATAATGTCCTGCAGTCTAATTAATATATCACTTATATAATAACGGTAGTGTTAATTAACAAAGAATTTTTTTACCTCGGACATGAAGCCAGCAAAATTTTTATTTTGACATCGTAAATCTAAGATGATTCCAATTTTCCAGTAACTTGTTTTTAATTTCTCCACGTTAAAATCCATAGTTAATAAAGGCATCGCGGCGGAAATTTCCAAATTATTGAATTTGTTTATTAATTTAAACATTCCTGCGACAGAGGAATTATCTAAGTAAATAATATACTGATATTATAGGGTGTCACTTGAAATAGTCATATGTATTATTACTAGTTGTATTTCCACAGAAAAATCCGACGATCCTCGATATTTCTTTGTGCTTATAGTAATCGACGATGAACTCATTTTCGTACGATAAGCAAATTGTAATTAATTTTAATACGAGTAAACATTTTAGTAACATATTCTGACGTATACAGACTTGCTAGAGTTTCCTTCTGATTCTCTGATATTCGATCACATTGAACTTTAATATGGAGAGAATACGATTTATAAGCTAAGATCTATATATAAAAAATGAAAGATTCTCCTGTATAACCGTCGATTATGTCTTCTGACAGTTGTAACTTATTCAGATGCATTTCTGCATTGAAGTTGTCTGTGTCAATCATTCCTACGTAATATTCATATAACGAATTGATGAAGTTCGAATAGTAGTACATTCATGTTCATTATCGATTCTGTTAGAACGAAACACGTAACTCTCCTTCTATGACTAACTCTAAGCAGTCGGCCAGTCGCGAGTTAAAAATATTTTGATGATAAATACCCAGTAATACAACCTTTTATTTTTAATTATGTTATTGAAAATTGAAGACCAATAAAAATAATACTGGACACTTTTGAAAGAAACGAATAAGATTGTGATAGGCATAAATTCACTTTGATGAATTATATATGGTTAGTGACGAAACATAAGTGCTCCTTATGGCGTAAATTAATATCATTCATTATGTTCGGAAAGTTGATCTTGTTATATGTTTTACTCACCTTCTATATAGAGCACGTCCCAAATGCAAAAGAATAAGTTTATATCATGGTGTAAAGGAAACAAGGTGTGCTACCATGCAGCAAATATTACTGGATCTTGACTTACTATTGAAATTTATTCAAAATATAAGATTGAGGACAAATAGTGTAGATCAAAATTGAATAAGCTATGCTCAAATTGAAATATTAATAAATTAAGTGTTTGAAATATTGAAATAACTAATGAAATCAATAAAGTTAGATAACAACACTTATGTTTGGCCAAAATTTGCGATTTTTAAGGGTTAATATTTTACTTTATTGATTTAATTAATTATTTTAATGTTCCAAACACCTACTTTATTAATATTTCTAAGGGTTGCTTTGGGAACCAGCAGGGAGTAGCGGAGAACCTCTGCCCGCCAAGCTACGCGTTCGTGTTCACGTTTAGCTCGGCTGTGACGGGATTCACATTGTCAACGGAGGCGATGATCACAAATCCTACTTCCAGACTCGCCGCTACGATTTAGCGCCAGTATTTTGGTATCGCCTAAAACCGTAGCGTTGTACATCTCCCTACTCATCTCTGAAAGTGATTAGAAGTTTCCTTTCGTTCACAATATCACTTTAAGTTACACTGTTTCGTCTGCTAATTTTACATGAAACAAATTTATAATAAATCATAAGTTAAGATTTTTTTATTAATTATTGTGGAATGGCGCTAACTTTAGTGAGAAAAGTAATTATTTAATGAAATTTGTGTACTATTTACTTATGTTAACATTTTGGATATATGACCATGTTTTATGAATTTCATTTATATATTTAGTTTATTTTATAGGCAGCCAAATGCTTTCACCATTCACAATATACAAAAGTACTGTCAACAAGATTTTACAGTTTGTATGAACCAGATTATCTAGAGGTTTGTTAATTTGTTTTTGTGCAGGTCAATAACACAGTAGAATTTTATTTTATAACAGCATTCTGTTTCAGCTGTTAAAACCAAAGATACCAATTTACACGGATCTCCATGTTCAAATCAAATCTTTTGCTTTTCCTGTGCTGGAAAGCTATCAAGCATATATAAATACAATTGCAGAACATATGGATATTGATGTTGAAGACAGGTATTGTATAATTTTTTACACATTGCAGTGACTAAATTCATTTCACTTATTAATCTTTATTTTGTCAATAATCTCTCAATTTAAGTTTTGCAGTTCCTCCTAAAAAATTAAAGATACAAAGATTAAAACCGAAGAGCGATGTGGTTGATTCGGAGTATTTACTCAATGAGTATGAAAGAAGTTTTCATTTATCAAATGTTTCTGCTACAAAATATCCAATTTTCCTAAGGATTCTGCAAGCAACTTTACCTGAGGGAGTGAAACTACATGTAGAGTTTTGGAATCCTCTAATTGATCAAAAAAGATATGTGCCAGATAAACAACTATTGGATTTGAAATCAGAACTTGGTGAGCTTAAAGGAAAGTGAAGTGTTACCGCAAGTATATTTTTTATGTTATGTTGCATTATGATTTTTGGATCATGTCTCTGATTCAATGCTAGGAACAGAATATCAATAAAATACTTTTATTTGAGAACATATAAAAATTTACAAAAACATTAAGGTAAAAAATTATAAAGTAACGATCATTAAGATTGTTTATAAAAAATTATTCAGTATAAACACACCAACTATGGGTGATTCATTTCACCTGAATAATTCTGTATAAAATTAGTTTAATAATATATATGTAACGTGTTATAAAAGACCAAAATGAACAACTTTGATCTTAGCTGCTTCTTCAGATGGTTTAGGAGATTCTTTCGCTTTTTCAATATTGTTATCTTCTGTAACAATAATGATAAAACAACAGTCTGAATATCACTTCAGTATTTACATTTGCATACTTACTGCACAATGGTTGAAAATCTTTGAGGTAGTCTTCGTTTCCCAAACACAGTGGTAGACTTTCTGCCAGTTCTCGTTTTGGATCCATAGGATGCAATTGGGTAACCGACCGTTTTTGAACAGGTCGATATGATTGCCCCTGCAGAACAATAAATTAATGCAAATTGCAAATGATAATTTTTACTGTACTTTATCTATAGTTCTTGGTAAAACAATGATTTGAATTCTTACCGTGCCAGGTACAAGAATATGTGTCACTGTATCCGAAAATTTGACTTTCGGTTTTTCGCTACATGACGACGGCGTATCCGTAGATGAAGTAGATTGGGAAAGGCTTTTAGTATTGGAGGTGGAAAGATTAATAACAGGCAGCGGTGGTACATTGGAAGACATTTTCTGGTCTTTGCTTATAGTAAGATTTGAGTTTTGTGAAAATCCTAATCTCAAGTGTTTCCCTTCTAACGACTTACTTTGTACATTATAATTCGACTGCGCATGATTAATAGAACCTATTGAACTAGATTTAGTATTACCTGGATGAGAATGTTGAACACTGAGATTATCGCAGCTACCATGAAAAGGAATAAAATCGAGGTCATAGTTTAGTCTGTAGGTTCTCGTGGGCTGAAAATTAGTACCCTTGTGCTGACTCTGTAAAATACTCGATACAGAATTTTGTCTTTGTAAAATCTTAGAGGTTGCAATATTTGTGGCTCTAGACATTTGAAACTTTTGAATAGGCTCGTCTATTTCTGTCAATCCTGGTGTACTACGTGAGAGCGGATAATTTTTTTTGGGTAAGTTATGAATGTAATGATAAGAATTCGTTATCGAAGGTGGCGGTGGTATATCACCAGAAGTATGTTTCTTCAGTGTCAATGGATGCTGAGTTTTCTGAATGCTCTGACAGTTTGCACCATCAGTAAGATTGTCAAAAGATGTAGACGTAAAAGCTGTTGCAGTATTGTCAAAGGAGTCTGATATATCTTCTTCAGGACTATTGAAAGAGGTTGACATCAGATTACTGCCACAGTTATAAAATGACAGTGAACTTACATTACCTATAGCATTATTAAACGAAGCTGACGAGGTCGTTTTATTTGTCATAGTAGTCGTAGGCGGTATAACTGCATATGGCATGGGAGGTATATTAATACTGGATGGATTTACACTCGATGACTTTACACTACGGATCATAGTAGAAGTGGCTGTGGATTCTGTCTTAGTGGTTGCAGTCAAATTTGGAAATGAGCTGCCAAATAATGTTGGCATTAAGTTTGTTGTAGGAATACTGAAAGATGTTGACATGACATTGTTGTCAGTATTATCTAAAGATGACAAACTTGATGGAATGTCTACAGAGACAGACTCGTAAGTTGGATTATTAAAAGGGGTTGACATAAAATTATTATGCTGCACAGCATCGCTCAACGTTGGTTGACTTGTGTTGTTAACCGAATTATTAAAAGAAGTCTCAGCAAAGTTATTAGCAAGATGATTAAATGTTGTAGGCTTTACACTGCTAACAGTAAGATTTCCGAATGATACTGTCATGAGATCACTTGTGGTAGTGGAAAATGGTTGTGAAAAAATATTTGAACTTATCGTAGAGGTGGGATTCAAATTTGCAGTTGAGGTATATGAATTCAATTTGCTAAATGAAGTAGATGACAGTAATCCACTTGATAAGAGACTGTGAGAGGAATTATTGAAAGCTGTGGTACTTAAACCACTGCTAGGTATATTGAATGGAGTGGACATTAAATTGTTATCAGACTTATTTATGGGTGGGACATCACTGAATGATGTAGAGACAAGTCCGCTACTATTATACAGAGGAGAATGAAGGATAGGTAAAGGTGGAATTTGGCTACTTGTTCCTTTAGCATAGTTACGCTTTCCTGGTAATTTGTAGCTAATTTTTTCTCGTTTAGGTGAATCTTCGCTTTCACTCTCTTCACTGTAAGATTCACTTTCTTTATCGCTTACTGAATCAGAGCAGATGGAACAGGATGGTCTTGAGCAGGTTGAGTCTGCAATTGAAGTAATTCATAAAGTTATTAATTATACTTACATTAAGTGCACGAATAGAAATGCTTACGAGAACTGGTGCAACTGTTTGATCTGCTTAGAATCTGTTCGGCTTTTTCTTTCGCAGCAGTTGCCATCTCTAAGTCATTCATTACAAGAGCATAGAAATGTATATCCATAAAAAGGTCATGATCGTTTAAATCTATTGCCAGTCGAAAAGCCTTTTCGAATAGCCGATATCTGTCGTAAGGTGTAGAAAATTAGTAATGTAACTATAATATTCATTAATTAGTACCTTAATAAATGATGGAAAAATCTTCGTGTAAGGTCTCTAACTTCATCGCCATATTCTTCTTCTACTGCCTGACTTATTGGTCTCACAGGTATGTGAAAACTGCCCAAGGCATTTTGGATGAGATCTATAATAAAAGGTTTGTGGATTGCAGCAGATTCATGTTCATTCTGTAGCAAATAGTTATTCTTACTTTCATGCTCCAATGTCAAAGGTAACTTAAAGAGATAGTTCAAAATTTGATTGAGTGAGTGCATGCAAGCACGTGCATCCATATCCCAATTCATAGACAACAGCAACGAGGTCGCACGTTCTACTTGACCAAGTGATAGATGTCTTTGCACCAGAACATCTCCAGATAAATTATCTCCTTCGATAATTCTTATAACTCCCAGTGGTCCCCTATTAATATATGTATATTAGTATGTGTTTGGACTATTTTAATAATGAATCGCAATTATATGGAAGTTACCTTTCAAAAAGTAATAAAAATAACGAATCTCCATGATCATAATATTCCATATATGAACTTGGATCAGTCTTTCTATTCCATTCCATGCGCAACAATGCTGGTTGACTCCTATACAAGTTATCAGCTAGATTGTGATTAAACGATAATAATAAACTTTGAAAAGATCAGAGACATTAGTTACCTAAAATAAGATGACAGATCTAATATATTGGCTGGTGTAGTGTCTTCACTTAGCATCTGACTCCTAACATGAGACAGAGATATATCAAAATGTTGAAATTGTCCTCTTTCATTTCCAACAGCAAATATAATTCCATTACTGTGCCACGATGCCAAAGTAGGTATCTGAATAATAAAAGTTTAAAAAATGTGGACAAGAATTATGTATAACAATTTGCATGGTTTGTTAACTTACAAACGCAGCTTTCACACTATTATTTGTTCCTCGCACTTGATCATGCAATGTTATCGAACCATCAATACAACACAGCAATAGCATATCATGATTTGGTGAAAATTTTACACAGCTTGTATGTGTTGGTAAAGGTACTGAGATAACGGCAATTCTTTGTAATTTATCTTGTTGAGATACTTCATAGGTGCGCCATTCAATTGTAACTTCTCCCTATAAATGAATACGTATCCTGTTGAAATACAAGTACCTTTTTTTCAAATATTTGTAATCTGTCAAGAAGGGTTGCTCACCTTTCTGGACACTTTCTGTTCTACTGATTGTATTACATTTTCATGATAGGCGTTGAATGTGATACATAAGGGATCAAATTCAGTGCGTAAGTAACACAAGAGTTCTAGTTTGGTTCTGAAATATACAATTTATTATGTGCTATGAAAAAACAAATATACCATAGTAACAGAGAGACAACAAGCTTCTAACCAAATTCTCAATCTTTTGTATGAAGATAAGTTAAGGATACCGTATATTTATTATAGTGCTGAGTTAGTGTTATAAAATTAAAATTTGTATGAACTGAGAATTATAAAGTGGGGATGTCTCAACATTGGCATGTTCATTGGGCTGACGAACCTTTTAAACCAAAAAGATTACAAAACTGGGAAGTTCCTAATTGGCATCCAGCTTGGCCTGATAGACACTGTATTACAACTGAATTTTATGCTGATAATAAGGGACATATATTGGCAGGTCGAAAGAGATCTTTGCAATCTCCTTGGGGAAATTTTATAGTAACTATGCATTGTTTTTTATAAAAACATTTTTTTTATTCTTATATAATTGATTAACGTTTTATCAGGACACATGGCATCTGCCACGAAAAATTAATAGGCGTCTTGCCGAAGAATTATCTGCACCTCCAAATTATAAGAAAGTTGCGTGGGCTGCACATTGTGCAAGACATCGTGCTATATGTAATGCGATTAACCCAAAATCACCAAAAAATTTTAATGAAACAAACAAACAAAAACAGGAGATGTTACAGAATAAAACGAATATTAAGTCAGAGGAAGAGAAAGATGAAGATGAAGATGAAGATAACAAAGATAATATCAGTTGTACAATTGATAATTTTACGAATATGAGCATTAAGAGCGAGGATATTTCAAAATCAAATTCTGAGAATTGTCATGCAAACACTTGCTTCCAGCACCAAATGCGTAAAATATAAAATTGTAATTTCATTGGCATTCAATTATTCTACTATGCAAATCCTTTTGGTACAATTACAAAATAATTTCTTACCCCGTTAGACGGTATAGATGCACGTTAGCACGATCATGTTCTTTTATAGCTGGACTCCAAGGATAAACTTCATTCATCGTAGATTTCCACCAAATTAAAATCTATCAACACGTTCAATTGATTATTGTACTATATTCTTTATAATTGTATTTTTTTTTAATCTTGTAATATAGTAACACTTACCAAATCACTGGATTTATTTACTTGAATTTTTTTATCCAATCTACGACCACTATGACAAGAAAGATCAATTGTTAGGAATTTAGGCTCGAGCCTACTGATTTTCTCAAATATATGTCGTTTTGGCTTAGTAAAGTGCACAAGAGTTACTTGGCTATCGTTGTATGTACAAATTAAATGATTCTTTGTAATTATCACTGTAAAGATTCAATAAATATTTTATTTATGGTATGTTAAACATAATAGAAAAACATACTAAGAATTTTATATTCAATACAATGTGAGTTAGATATATAATATAAAATTTTTACCGTCTGATATGTGATCCGATACTTTTCCAACAAGATACTTGTCAAAAGAAATTTTTTGTATATCACCACTAGGACAATTAATTTGTATTTGAACTAATAGTCCAGAACTAAGCATCATATGTACAATACAGTGATCATACCATTGACAGTACACAGTAGAGTTGTCTTTAAGCTGTTCCTATATATAGAACAATTAGTATAATATATAATATTTTGCAATACCAATTAAGTAAAAACCTTACTTCAAGATATTTAATGGAATCTTTCAACTTATTTCCCTTTTTATTTTGTGGTACACAAACCATCCCACGCTTTTGAGCATAGGATCTTTTACCTTCCTCATATAAATCGTCCGTACGTTTGTCATGGTATCTAAAAACAATTGTTAAATGAATTGTATATGATATCATTACTGTAGCATACAACACAAATTAAATATGTAGAACAATATTTGTAATTGACAGGAAACTATATTTTACCTGAATGCACCAAAGTCTATATCCTTAATATTAATGACATCTTCGAATGTCCACAGATTAACTTCGCCCAATAAGACGAACATTATAATAACTATTTTACCACTATTGAACTTTAATAATCCTCTAAGAACTCAGTGTATAAACATTTCAGGCAGGTTATGTTATTTGAATTTGTTTTTTTAGGCTAGATCCTCATACAGGTGCCAGCATTCGGATACAGGATTTTGATTGGTGAAAAATAACAATTTTTCTCCCACCATTTGGTATCCACGAATCAAAATCCTGCATCTGAGCGCTGACGCTTGTATACGTCCTATTCGTATGACCTCATCTCTGGTATGACAGCCGTATCATCTCTGGCAGCAGGTTTGTCTCGTTACCTACGCTTGAGCCTACATTTTCTGTACTTTTCAAAAAGGGTAACTTCATATTGGTTATTAAATAGTATCAAACAATAATTTTGCACTTTTTAAAAAATGCAGAAACTATAGGTAACGAGAATAAACCTAGTCGTGCTGTTTGACGTTACACAGATTTAATTATGTATCAATAAGTGGTGTGTGATTACGCGTACCTGATGCGTACATACGACTTAGTTCATAAAAGTCATTACAGTTTCAGAATAGTGCATCTTAAAAAACTAAATGTACGCTGATGAATAACAACATATAATGTAACAAGAATATCGGCTACATTTTTCAATTAGTTATTAATTAGTGCAGTTTATTTTATGAAACTGATACAAATTTTCACTGTGTTTTTTATTTCTGTTGCATCGCGAGAATTCTATATGTTTATATGAACATAAAATTGGAATAAAGAACAATTATTAATTAATAGACATTATTAATAACAATGACTGTTACCATGGGTGAGAAGAATTAATGCTACTCTCTTATGTGTCATATAGGTTATAATATCACTACCATAATGAAATAAAAACAAAATTCCACATTAAAGCCCATTCTCTTTAACGTGGTTCAATGCATAAACTCTGCTAACTTCAAAATCCAAATGTCTGATTGACTAATAGTGAAATTAAACCGACTTTAACCAATAAACTGTGTTTTTGGATCTGGGCCTAAGTGACGTTCATTTATTAATGACATTTGTTTTTCATATCCTTTTCAGATTCTGTCGTATATTTAGTTCTTACTGCAATATTGTGGGGTGCTACAAATCCTTTTTTAAAAAAAGGCTCACAAGGTTTAGAAAATGTAAAATCATCTTCACGATGTGGTCAATTTGCTAAGGAAGTTATATTTCTTGTCACAAATTTGAAAGTTAGTATATTATGAAGAGGTAAATCTATTCTGTAGTGATCACATATTAAACCTCTCTTCTTTTTCCAGTATATAATACCTTTTCTAATAAATCAGTGTGGATCAATATTATATTTCCTGACCCTGCAAAGCACAGACATATCATTGGCAGTGCCAGTTACAAATTCACTTACCTTTGTATTTACTGGTATCGCTGGTAGGCTGTTAGGTGAAGAAAAGGTTCATAGAAGTAAGTTCAAGAAAATATAATCTTTCCTGTTGCATATTATTTCCACATTATATATTTTATTTATGTTGTTTTTCAGATACGTACATTGGTATGATATTCATACTTACTGGCACAACATTATGTTGCCTAGATAAATTAGGCATTACCGAATAACTTAGATATTTCATCTTTAAAAAACCGTTTGAGTATCAATAATGGAAAAGTAATATAGATTTGAAAAGCAATTAACCAGAAGTTAGAAGTAGTCAAAAGAAAATATCTGTGCTGATTGGTCCTCAAATTGTATCCAAGAGTTTATCCATCTGTCCTGGAAACAAACCCAATGTCCATTTCATTTTATATAAGTAAGGACCACAGGTCAGTGAAAATATTTCTTTTTTTAATAGAATTTGATGAGTTCATTGATGAACTGACGGTGCAGCAATGACATTCAGACTTGCAGATTGTAGGACAATAAGTATTGTACTTGCAGTTATCTTTTGCTGACGACATAAGACCTAACTAAATTCGACCTCAACACATTTTTTATAATGTAATGAAAAAATGACGTTGCTTCTCAGAATATTTGGAATTATGTTTATTTATTTCGAATTATTTAATAGTGTTACAAAATAAAACATGTTTTGGAGCATGCACACCTCCATGTGTTTAATATTTTCTTCTTAGATGTAGCAGCGGTATCAGTTAGATTAATAAATGATATAAATTTATCAATATTTCAATTTTATATATTGGTATATGGTATTTACATACAAGTATAGCCTAATGGTCCATATATACACACACACGCAATTAGCACCAATTAGGAATTCAAGAAGTGGTGCAGTTGTTTACATTCACGTCGCTGCACAGGCCTACCTGTAGTAACACTGCATCACACAGTACATTTTTTTTCGCATATCTTTTTTGTCTGTGGAATTTAGCAAAGATTTGCTATTAAGTACTTCTGTAAGCACGTTTACGTAATTTCTCTTGGTACAACAATGTTGGGCATTTTGCAACGCCAGATCGATCAAGCGGATTTCAGAATCTGAATGGCCATTAGTAACGTATCAGCGACGAAAACTTGTACGCAAGAAGTAGTAGCAATTCGAAAGGAAAAATATTAAAAATTAGGTATAATTAGTACAAGTATTTACAATGACGTTTATATAAAGGAAAGACCATGAAAAGCTATGAACAGTGGACAAACAGTAATTACCAATGCAGATTGGTATCTTTGCATTTTTCTGCATTTTAGTAGCAATGCGCTTAAGTTTACAGGATTTAGAGAGTGTAGTCGCCCTTACTCTCTTCTAGAGTTTAGAACGTATAACTCACTTATCTTCTACTAGATAGACGTAAGAAGACATCCTTTCCAGTAATTTTGATTTCTTTCACGAGGATAGTAGTAGTATAAATATAGGAAAAGTAGAAAAAGGCACTCTGATTCACGGCAAGTAGAAAAAGAAGAAAAGTAACAGCCTCGATTATTTGAATTAGGCTCCATGAAATGCCTTTTGGATATGAATATCCAGTCAGGAAGTAGTTACAGGCACAATTTGTTGTGGTACCTGATTCTGGTTGGTACTTTTTTCTCTATCCTGTTGTCTTAATAAACTGACACGTTCTGATGACATGAATATTTAAAAATGACAAGACACGAATATACCATAAACGTAATGCCTTCGCATCTAACTCGTTAAATTTAAACGAATAAATTCGGCAGAGAGAAGGCTTCCTTTTGAACATTGTCATTTCGCATAATCATTCGAACGGCCAGGAACGCAAGTTAAAAACTATTACAGAGTTACTAAATGGATAACCATGTTAGAACAATTAATGAGCAACGTTAAAAATATTTTGTTATCCTGCCTCTTAAAATTCTCTGCGCAGAATTGCGTTCCTGCGTCCGAGGATTAAATCCCGTCATTGACGCAGCAACTACTTGCCAAACTTCTAATTTTTTTTTTTTTCATGGATTGGGAACAAGTATGATTCATAACAAAAGAGTTGTGAAACATCACATTAACTTTCGAACATCAGAATTTTAATAGTTTTTTCCATCGACGGACGTACTATTCCCTTTGTGTCTTCCCCCTGTCTTTCCTCTTATTAATTTACACCTGTATCTATCCATATATCGTAAGTGTTCATATGAGTTTATACAAATTATATGGACATTGTATAGGTGTAGTTCAAAAGGGTATTCCGATAGTCACGGTCTGATGAGTTTATACTTTCGTTACTTGCCTGCGGCTCTCACTACCGTCACGGTAGTCACTTTTACAAAAGATCAATTTCCACGGTCGATCAATTATTTGCAGTTGACGCTTACATGGCGCCTTCGAGTTCCTAGAGAACCAAGAAGACTGTTTGGCGAGGGAAGAGAATGTAAGAGAATAGAAAATAGAAAAAGAAGAAAGACATAACGACGCACATATCGCATCGACACGCAGTGCGAATTACGGTGGTTTAACACGTCATTAATGATCGCTTACGATTACGAATTAATTATGAAAGTCAAGACTAGCATTGTTCAATGGTCTTTCCATCAGGCCCTGGATTTCTTGCTCTTCAGTTTGAACCATCCCGCGCTTTTGTTCGGATCACGTGGCACTGAAGTCGATCTGCTCAAATCCGTCCTGGAACTTCCGTTTCGTGATTTATTCGCCAGCGATTCCGTAGAAACTGTCCTATCCACCTTCTGCTTGTCCTTCGACTTGAGTGTACTGCGACTGATCGTACCTATGAACAATGACAATATGAGAAAAAAAAAAAGAATGATTACACGGGTATTAAGAAATTGATTGGCCCCTAAGATTAATACATTATTATTCAGTACAGGTAATAAATTCTTACCGGTCTTGGAAAGGTTGTCCTTGCTACGCCGAGCTTCTTTTCCACGGCGACTCAGGGTCTCACGGCTACGATGTCTACGTCGCATCGTCGCCGTCGGCTTTTGTTGCTGATGCTGATCGTAATTTATTTCGAATGGTTCTCGATAATGCCTTGGTTTCCAGGGCGCCAATACACTTACGCTCCTGGATACAGTCCTGGTGTGAGATTGAAGGGGTCGATTCAACTCCTCGCGACTGGCTGCCCTGCGTCTCTCGTTCGGTCCAGGAATTTCACCCACTACAAAAAGAAAGGCGATAGGACCATATCGAAATCATCGTTGAGAAACGCTCTTGTCAATGCGGGTGGTTGACAGTGATCGATGAGCTTTGCGAAAATCACCTGTGGCAGCGTGCAGATACACTACGGATCTCTGCGACCTCTGTGAGTTCTGACTCTGCTGACTGCTGTCGCCTGTCGTACTCTCTCCGGACGACAAAGCGCTTTCTGCGAGTCTCGGCGGCTTCCTCGGGGCCGACGCGATCCCCGAGGTGTGGCGACTCGAATTCGTGACATCATGCCTTGAGTTGGCATGGTCGTCGGTTCGTTTACTTCTGTGGTATCGGAGAAAAGAAGTACATAGAATACAGTAACGCATATAGATACATGCATCAGGTATCACAGCCTAGAAGATATCTATGGGATTTTGTAATAGATTCATAGGATACCACTTCTACATACATATTAGATCGACTCGACATAGGAATTTTATTGGAATTTGCACGAAATTCTTCGATTCCTGTTAATAAAAAAACCTGTTCAACCGTTTCGTGGTATTGCTATTTTTAACTCTGGGCTCATTTACTTTGCGGACTCATAGAGTCCTCTGCTAATGGCTCGTAGACTTGGTACCTTATACTCTGATCATGTGTGGAGTCAAAGTAGTGATTTCTGTGGTATGCAAAATTACCTGCGCTCGCGGTTCGACGAGACGGATTCCTGATCGGTATCGCCGAAGAAGCGTAAATTCTTCTGTACGGAAACTCGTTCGGGTGCCGAAGAGGCCTCCTCGTCCTCAGTACCAGTAGTCAGGATCTCGCTCTCAGGTATCCTTGCTTTTTTGTCGACGGACTAGAACAAAAAAATTTATGAATAAATTATAAAATTATTTTCTTTTGGTTTTAGCCATTCAACAATTTCCCCCACAGCGGAGCGTATCTACGACGCGTGTATCGTGCATAGGAAATGAAAAAATGAACTGTAACCCAGCATCTTCGCGAGTCATGACCTCCGGACGTTCGCTGGTTCAATAGATCATCATCCACCGAGAGGATTCACGCGCACGCAATCAACTCCAATGGCTATCAGCAGCGAGAGTACCGCCTAGGATCGGAATCGGGATCTGACGGAGATTATTCCGCGGACGATACTCGGCTAGGCAAGCCTCGGCACTTAATCTCGCGATTAAATTAAACCACAGAGCGCGGAGTTAGTTAAGCATTTAATCAAACTGGTAATAGGAGGTTGTACTGCCCTAATGACCCCGCTGCGGCAACCATTGACTGATGAATGCACCAGCTCCCCCACAGCTATAAGAGTCTCGATCTTTTATGAAACTCGGGATGCTACGGCGTTCTGGTTATCCTTTTAAGCTTTGAATTTCTCAATATGAACTTTCGGTAGACGGACACAAAAATCATGTTCGTTAAAGACATAGCGCAATTAATCATTGCCGTTAATGAGCTCGGATTTATATAAGAAAAAAAAAAAAAAAAAAAAAAAAAAAAAAAAAAGAAATTGATTTAACTTTGTAAAGAGACAAATACGAGGCAATGATTCGCCTACGCGCTCGTATGGTGAAAGCTTCATGTACTTGCTCGTGCAACCTCGAGAGACACGTCGTCGACCAGTTTATCTCAGGTACCAGACATCTTGATGACGTCAGGAATCGAGTTATTATTAGGAATGTCTACGAGCTCCTTCCGATTCATTTAAATCGAAGGTGTCAATAGATTTTACATAATAGATTATCAATTGATTTATTCTCAATATCGATACGTACTTTTACATTGGACTTATTCTTCCTGGAGAGCGATTTAAACCAGCCCTTCCTCTCGGCTTCCTGTCCCTGATTATCCCTGGTGAGGGTGTTCTTAGATTCACAAAATGGTTCCTCCTCCCTGGTTAAGGTGCCCGTCGATCTCGATAACCTTGCGGCTCGAGGAGGACTGGGACTTCCACTTGGTGTCGATAATCGTCTACGATGACTATAGTCCTCCTAAAACAAAGAAAATATATCAACTAAGGTTATGTCGATGAACCATGAGTACTCTCTAGCTATACTGTACTGGAATGGTATAATTTAACGGAGGACTTATCGAGTGTTGGAAAGGGTTAAGAGGAGTTTAATATCTCGAGGGCTCTTGGTAATGCATGGCCATGGAAGGTACGCAACGTGCCATTAAAATCGATCACCCGTTAGAGGCAGAAAGTGGATCACGCACACGTGGAAGTACATAACCCATAAGCAGCATCGAGTCCTTCCACTCTGTGATGAGGTAGAGTAGTGAATGGAGTTTGCGATGCCTGATGAGGGCCCCGACCACGTGGGTGGCACTAGTCAGTCAGACATTGCAAGGGCCCTGGATTAGTTTTTATATCTTCCTCTCGTTAAGGCGTCAGTCACGAGGAGAGGAAGAGTTGGACGAGGAGGCGAAGAGGCTCGATGGAGGTAATGACGGTCTGTGTCACTCGCTAAATGCCCCCATATTAGTCGGCACTCGACGGCCGATAATATTGCGACTGGTTCTCATCCAGTAAGTACTCGGCAGTTACTTTCTCCTGTTATAACAGTTCCTATCCGTACGAAAACACGTGATTTTCAAAGCAATACCAGTGGCCGCTCGTAGCTAAAATTAGTGGGGGTGCTGCTCCAGAAAACTTTTAGCCGTTATCAATAATATCAAGTGAAAAGGGTGCTGCAGTTCCACGGTGCCTATACGCGAGCCGCCCCTGGTCGATACTAAAAATTTCTATCTACAAGAGCTGATGAATTTTTAACGTCAATCTTTACTCTTGCGTACTGTATGATTGGTGTGAAAATTGCAACCGTGAACATGGTACATGTATAAGGTAAAAATAAGCATAAGATCGGTGGCTTAACTCTTAGACCGTATAGTGGCACACGCGCCGATCGGCATGTTCAGAGCGCTATGCGTTATTGCCGTAGCTTTCGATACACAATATAATAACATATCGCAGGGCCTTGCCGTACCTGCCGCATAAACTCTTAAATGACTCACAATGAATAGCCCATATCGCGGAATCATCTGCATAGTACAAGCCCGCGCGCTTCCCTCGAAGTCTCCGTATATACGAGCAACAATATCCCGTGTGCTTTCCATAACGAGTCGAGGCACGGTGTACCCTAGGGGCATTGTGACCCACGCACCGCCCTGCTAACTCTTAGCATGGCTATGGCCTTCCTTCTACCTTCCTTCTCTCGTCCACCTTCTCTCCTCCCCTTCGAATGATCCCACACCCCTTGCATTTTATCTAGACTCTCCTCTCCAGCCCTCTCCAGCCTCTTCCCACAGGAACACAGATCGGCTCACGGGACCCCGCCACGTTTAACCGTCCACTTCTTTCTCGCGACGTTTCTCTCTCTCTCTCTCTCTCTCTCTCTCTCTCTCTCTCTCTCTCTCTACCTTCCTCAGGGAATGCGTTATGCGCGGCTACTCCCTCGCCCGGGAGTTCGCGTGGGCCGGCAGATTGGGCTAGGTCGGGTCTTGCGTACCTACGTAGTACATGCGTGGACGCACCTACATACTCGTACCCTGCATACTGCTCCCTCCACCTACCTTCTCTACCTTTACCTACGTCTTGGCGTGCGTGCACACATACATATACGGGGAACGCATAACTCTGCAACATTAAACCGCTGCGCCGTAGGTCACTGTAGATTACGCATAAATTCCGGGGGATGCGATTTATGACGTTAACCGGCACCCATCTTGGGATCTTTCGCTTCGAGCCAGGACTCGATATCGTCCAACGTCCTTCTGGTGGACCAATTTTATTCTGGAATACAATGATAACCTGGGTATACTATTGTTACTTGGGTTTCGGGCTGCCAGGTAGATTCTTATTAGGGTACTCGTTGGTTTAATGGGATTTTTACTGATTTGGAAATTGGGCCTGGTTAAGGAGTTATGAGAATATCAGAAGAGCGTGGCGATCCGCCCATGGGGGGCATAATGCCCATGGCACAAGAAATATAATAAGAGGGAATCCCGCCGCTGTACAAAGGGGCATTACAGTAAGATCTGTAACGCGCAAAGCCGCAAAATAAACGAACGAGGCGTAATGGGTATTGGCTGCCCGTCCCGCCGGTGGTTCTCCAGCGCATGCGTAACTGCGTAACCGAGAGCAAACAGAATAATAAGAAAAAGCCCAAGAGATGCTGCGCAAGAAACATCCACCTTGGGATCGCAGCCAGAGGACGGGATGTGGTCTGACCAGGAATGCGCATCTAGAAAGAGACGTCTTTCCATACGTTTATCTCAGCTGCTGAACCTTCTGCCTGATGATAATAAAAAGAAATTACTCTCTCGAGTCCGGACCAATTTACCCTGTCCACGTGCATCCAGATTGTAACTAATTTTTTTGTTATTTTACTGAAAAAAAAAAAGGGTGGACATCTGGAAATCTGAATAAGTCACACGAGACGCGTCGGGAGATCAGAAATCTTTGGAAGTGATCAACGAGGATGTCGCCGATGGTCCACGTCGTCCAAGGTCATCCGCTCTCGACGCGGTGGCAGAAGAGGCTCGAGCACCACGAGCTTTCTAGGAGGTTGGATAGCTCGGTAGAAAACCGGATGCACACTGCTAAACTCTGTGCACCGACGGGACACCACCACCATTAATGACCGAGGGCGAAGAGGGTGCGGTTTACTTTATTTGGAATAACTTCGGGCTGTGATACCTGCGCCTGTCAATGGCGGCTCTATTGGAAACTCGCTCGCTCTCCTGCTTACACTCCTCTTCCTTCCTCGCGCTTCTTCGTCTCTTCGAGTTCCTCGAGAGCGAATCGTCCGGAGCGCCCACGGCTGGTACCATCGTACCTTGCGTATCCAATACTGTGGATCTTAGCAAGTACGCGTATACATATACATTACGTACTCGTGGCGGCGGCCATTGACGTTTGATAATTGATGAAATGACGCTGCTTGCGGAACGCGCTTCACTCAGGAACTTTTGGATCTTTTCTAGGCGTAACTGTAGACATACTATCGATACAGCATCCTCGATGCTCATTGACGAATATTAATCGTTATTGCCTATCACGATGGATGACTTGGGCTATCTAATGCATTCGGCTACCATCCAATGAGAAGCCACTGACTTGTTAGGATCAATAAGAACGCTACTTGGATGCTGTGATTGAGGAAAAATGTAATGGATAAAAAAAATGTATTTTGAATTTTTCGTTGCTTACGCGATAATGGGTGTCACCTCGGTGATCGTTCACTGTCACCAGATAGACAATAGAGCTACTGGTAGTTACAGCAGACTGTATCCGTCTTAGTATCTCAAGAGTTCGTCGGTGTACCTTGATACACATTGACCAGTTGGTACCGAAAGAGACGCCGCTCAGATACACCGTAGCTAGTTACCACTACAGTAGATGCATCTGCGCGGCGTCCTAAGCCGAGTGGAGGAAGTTCTAATCTAAGCTTCCTCTCAGGGCTAACCTAGCCTAGCACTAAAGCCAGGATAGAAAGAGCCGGAGTGCATTGCGGCAGGTAGAATCGTATCGGCAAATTGCAATCGGCGACCGCCTTGTCGGCAACTCCCATTGCAAAAAAGGGAATACGGATACTACGAATATCCGGGATTATTTAGGTCCAGGGCACGACGTAAGGGGAATCGTTCTGAGAATTCTACAATCCCGTGCTATCTTTTCTCTATTCCGGGTTATTCTAGGGTTAAACGATCGGTCGCTCCTGTGGAAACGATGAAAGTGCCTGGGGTGGAAAAGAATGCAACATCCGACGAGCTCAGTTCGAGGAACGTTAACTGATAGTGACTAAGGACGAGGAGAGGGAGAGAGAGAGAGAGAGAGATAACTTTACGTAAATGAGGTGTAGCGCAATTACGAGTTATTGCCCTGGAAACACGAGCTGGAAGCACAGCTGTTCTCGCATAGTATTCCCGAGGAAGACTAGCGATTCGTTGATGCTAAGTGCTAACTATTTCAAGAATCTCGCGATCTCACGGTTGAACCTTTCTAACCCTCTTATCTATCTCACGCCAACTGCCACTTTACAGCTTGCTGAAGAGCGTGTTGTCGCCGTAGCAAGTTCTTGAAGTTCATCTTGTTACACCTTGGCGTAAATACCGTTATTTAGTATTGAGTAACAATAATACACTGGGCAATGCGTGATGGCTCGTAACGGATAGTAGTATAATTTTGTAAAATTTTTTTCTCTACATTTTTTTCAAAAAGGTTACGTCGATTTTCACTTATTGACCTTGCATTACGTGTCTGCGTACATCGGTAAGGGTACTGGGATATGAAATTTTTGTGGATCGAAATAGAAGCGTTAACGGCAGTTCTTGGAATGTCTGACAGCATGTGAGAAAGACGCAGAGTGAGAAGAGACTGTGAGAAACATCATCGCGCGAACAAAATGAAGAGCGCAGTCGAGTGGAGCCGCTGCGAAAAAGACGTCAGGCCACGTCTTCCCCGAGGCGTACGACGTACGTCTCCCTTTCACTCTCAATCCGGTGCCCGAGAGTGCTGCGTGGAGAAATGGTTAGCTAACTGCTATTTCAGTCTCTCCTCCTTGATCTGCCTTTGCTCTTGAGTCCCCGGTGCAATTAGCAACGAGGACGAGGAAATTAGGCACTAAAGACAATCAGAACGGATCGCTTGATTACGATCAGTTAGACGGTTTACGAGGGGGAATAAAAAGTAATTTGTAAAATTGGGTAGTGGACCCGGTGTTGATGAACTATTATATTAGCTTGTTCCAAAACGAAAGATTATTCAAGGATCAAATTCGTGTAGTAGGTACCTCTGAGCCAGGAGCTTTTAGCAACGGACAATATAAAAATTGTTTCCAAATATACATATGGAATATTAAAAAGCTTCATGAAGACACAAGGTACAAGATGTAGACGTAGCTGGATAAGAGGATACTATCTTGAGCCATGACGCCCAGGAATTAGCAAGATTTCGTAATGTCAAGTGCAGAAACCGCTTCCGCCTCCA